ATTATTTAAATTGGCCTCAAATGTAGTTGTTTGGTATTTTAAATAGGATAAATTATTATACCTGGTTCAATATAAGTGAGACATGATTTTTATTATATATATATATATATATATATATATATATATATATATATATATATATTTATTTTTATTAGAATTTTTATTATGACAAAAAAATGCATTTTATGATTAAATTTTGCTCTCGTCAAAATATCCTCCTTAAAACTTGATTACTGCGACGCAGATGTTTGACATTCGCTGCCAAAGTTACACAAAGTATAAGTTTGATAATTGATTCCGTTCTTTTCTCACTGACTCTCAGAGCTGTTTACCATTACTTTCACTCTTCTGTCCCGTTCCTTCTATGATATTTCGGGGGGGGGTTGCTTCAAACATTTGAACTGTAGTGTGTGTGTAGAAAAAAATAGCCTTTCTCTCTGTCGGGTGCCGATAAACTAGGGGTTAGAATTTAGGACTGATTCCAAATCGCTCGGGTTTGTGGACACACTAATGAGCTGTTATACAGCGAAACAGCCTGTCTGCGGATGACTATATATATATATATATATATATATATATATATATATATATATATATTATTATTATTATTATTATTATTATTAATTATGATGGTCAGATCTTGAGTTTCTTTATTAAATGCGGAAACCTCCATCTATGTGCTCGATGCTCGATGCAGATCAAATGTGAGAATCATTCCCAATTATTATGGAATGCCGAGTTTTCGGCTGGCCGTGTAGCCGTCTTCAGGATCTGGGAGCTTGTGCTATTGGATGCTTTTGAATTTTTTTAAATTAAAATCCTACGTATATCGTTGTAGTGACATCGATTATGTAATGCAATTTAAACAAATCCATCTGTTTATTGCTGAACATATCGATGATTCCAATGTCATGGAAGATAAGAATATGACTGTGATGGTCCTTTTTCTGTTTAATTTGATCTATGACTTACAAATCATTTGAGTCAGCCGACATTGTATCATTACATAAACGTAGCTGAGCATGATCGTATCATTACACTTTAAAATACTTTATAATGAGTAACTAACGCTTTTCAAATCCATTCAAATTTTGTTAATTATAATGGCAGTGAATGCTAGACAAACTCCTCACAGATGAAGAAGTGACTTGAAGCAATCGAAATGTAGTTTTACAAAAGGATGTCGACAATACCATGGACCGAACTTTAGAGAAAATGGAAACAAAAAAGAACACTTTATTTAACATCAGGAAAAGACAGTTGAATTTTCTAAGGCGCATAATAAGGAAAGAGTATTTGAAAATGTGATAGCCACAGGTCTGGTTGAGGGCAAGGGACATTGAGGAAACAATATCAAGGGAGCTTAAGTAAATGGGTGGCAGAACAAGGTTTTGGGGAGATAACAAAAAGGCAAAATTTAGTTAGAGCCACAAAAGAGGGGGAATTGTGGGCACCCATGATCGTCAACGGTAGTGAATGCTGGACTATTTATTTACAGATGAAGAAGGTACTTGAAGCAACAGAAAGAATACCATGGACTAAATATATAAGCAACAGCAAAGTTCTAGAGAAAATAGACACAAAAAGGACAATTATGCATAACACTAGGAAGAGACAGTTGATATTTCCGGTGCACATAATGAGGAAAGTGGGCTTGGAAAATATGATGCTCCCAGGACAGATTGAAGATAAGAGAGCCAGAGGAAAGCAACACATAACCTACCTAGTGAGATTGAGCAATTGTATAGTATAGCAGGTTTTGGGAGAGATGCCAAAAGGACACAAGTTATTAGAAGATACAAAGGGCAGGAACTTGTGGAGTGCCATAATTACCAATGTCCTGAAGGGACACGACATATATAAGAAGAAGAATATATTTACTCAGCTTAACTTAGTCTAGAACAGGACCACATTGGGTAGAATGAAGGAAGATTTTTAACAGAGGACCGAAAGGGAAAGAGTGAAATCCAAAGACATATTTGAAATAGGGAAAGACGCCTTCCAAAAGCTAATCAAAGAATTAAGAAACAGAAAAAACATCTTAGAAACAAAGAAAAGACTACTGAATAGTTACATAATATCATTTCTCATATATATCAGTGAATGCTGAACAATCTCTTCACGGATGAAGAAACTTGAAGCAACAGAAATGTGTTTGTGAAGAATGGTGCTGGAAACACTATGAACCAAACGACGACGAATTTTTAAAGAAAATGGGAACGAAAAGGATATATATGCTTAACATCAGGAAGAGACAGTTGAAATTTATAGGTCAAATATTCAGGAAAGGGGGTTTAGCAAACTTGATACTCACAGGACAGATTGAATTCAAGAGTGATAGAGGAAAACAACGCATAACCTACCTAGAGAGATCCAGTAAATAGATGACGGAACAAGGTTTAGGAAAGATAACAGACATAGTAATGTTAATGATAATATCAACAGTTTCCCTATAAGGAAATATTTGGCATTCATTGATTGAGCAGCCAGTGCAACTTTCTGTTAAATTACATAAAATCTGTCTCTTAAAATATTTTTTAGGAAAACAGGTTTCTCAAGTCCAGTAGCTGTTATCGCACGTTTTAGTATTGATGAGGTTTCCTTCCTAAGCTTTTATTTGAAGTAGTGTGGAAAGTTAATGTTGTTGCATACTTACGGACGATAATGGAGATGTCCCCATTCACATAAATACATTAGTAAATACTGTATGTTGCTCTGCAGTTGAAAATTCGTCTCCAGCTGTGCTGGTCAAAATCTTTGCCTCCAGGCAGAGAGGATTCCCAGTCGAAGTGCAGAGTCTCGTCTTCGGAAACAGCTACCTGATCTCGTTTTATATGGGGCCTACGTGGAACTTTTGACCGGGCCTACGGGCTCGGATACCCCACATTAAATTCGGCCTTGTGCCACATCTGACCGCGTAGGGCGGTTGGTAGATATCCTGCAGTTGGAGATTTGTCTCCAGCTGTGCTGGTCAAACTCTCTGCCTTTGTGCTTAGAGGGTCCCTAGATGAGACTATGTTGAAGGGAAGAGTTTCGTCTCGGGAAACAGCTACCGACCCTGTTTTATACGGGGTCTATGGGGAACTTGGACCCTGCCTACGGGCTCGGATACCACACATTAAATTCGGCCTTGTGCCACATCTGACCGCGTAAGGCGGTTGGTAGATATCGTCTGCAGTCAAAGATTCATTGTGGAATTCACTTGACTTACTTATAGCAGTTGACTACTTCTACGTGCCACTAGCAAATCTTATATGTCTTGTTCTTGTATTAAGTATTATCGTTCATTACCAACCTTCGTTTGATTATTCTATTCAGTATTTTTTTTAGGTTACCATTTTGATTTTATTATTTTCTCTAGTTACATGTACCATGCATTTTAGTTGTCGCTATTGTTAGTTCTCAAATGATGTTGTGTCTGGAATTTGGTACCGTTCTTTGCTTGTGAATCGGTATCACCAATTCGCAATGTTCAAATAAAGATGATCTTGGCCAAGACCTTCAGGCTTCACTTGCCCAAAGTCATTTTTAAACATTGATCTTAGAAAGCGTTTGTATAATGCTGACATTTTAGATATTTCTGAACGATATGAATATCTCGAGCTGACGAGGCTATTTAAGAACATGACTCGAGATTTCAGATTGCTGTTTTTGTTTTATAGCAAGTTAGGCAAAACTACATCTGGCGCAGCCTATTCTGTGGTCATTTTTCTTTTCTCCGATACTAAATTTGTTATAACTGCTCCATACGTCGAGGTATCTAAACTGTTTAATATGTACTAATTCTACTTCCTGCTTATTTTTTAAATGATGGCTTCAAGGTACGTGTCATCACTGCTTCCACCCCAATTCGAGATCATAATTTCTGTTTTGGAAAGGTTTATCTTGAGTTTCATTTTTTGGAAAACTTGATAGAAGTTGGTGATTTTCCGTTCAAGATCATTTTTATCCGAACTTTGAATACCTATATCTTCAGCATAGTCTCACTCATCAATCATCAGTATATTTGTCTCGATAGGCAAAGCAGGTTCGTTGTCTTCTATTGGAATATTTGTTTGGGATGTGGTATGGGATGCTTAAAAGGTCAGCGTATATCTCATCACATATAAAATTTATTTAGAGCTACAAAGGACAGGGCATTGTGGCAAAGCCTGAAGTGCGAGGGAAGAAACTGTTAGCATAGAACTTACGGTTAAATCTAACCATTTAAACTTCAAAATGATGAGACCTTGCAACCAATCTAGTTCTGCGCTGAAATTCATAAGTCTAATTACCATACAGGAAAATTATTCAGAACTCCCATAAAAGTATTTATAGAAAAGGCACAGGGAAGCCACGTTATGGCGAGGGATTCAGTGACTGAATCCGATATGTGAGGTCAGGACTAATAACATTGCATATTCTTCTTTGTATCATATCAAGGTTTTCTAAATACATAACAGAATTTCCAGACCAGATGTGCTAACAACATCCTGAAGGGTCACGGCACATAGAAGAAGAAGAAGAAGAAGAAGAAGAAGAAGAAGAAGAAGAAGAAGAAGAAGCATGAACGAGAGTGAGTTACTTTGTTTTAACTGAGATCAACATTTAAAATTACTAATTCTACAAGTATATTCAATAAAGTTTTGAGTACGTGCAGGCGACATGTGCGTATGAAATTTGATGACTTTGATAGACTCCAACTTAAAAGTAAATGAATTCTTATCTACACTTAAGTGTACGAACCTCATACGATTGAAAAAAAATAGTTTCGTTTTCTTTGATTTCATCTTTTTATCTGTGATTATTTCATCTCTTTTATTTTCTTTTATTTCTTCCTGCTTTTTTTTTTTTATTTCCTGTGCTTTTCTCTTCCCGTCTGTTATTTTTGTGACTTCTCTAAATTGAGAGTTTCATATCTTTTCCATTTTCTTTCATTTTTCAGCTTCATCTCTCTTTTTCTAACTTTCGTCTTCTTTCATCTTTTTTTTTTTAATCCTTTTGCTTTCTAACTCTTCTCTATGGCTTCTTTTTTCTCCCTCACTTTTCTCTTCTACTTTTATCTCTCTTACTATTTGACTCGCTTCCGTTCTTCCCGCTTTCCGTCTCTAGCTTTCTTTTTGTCTGTTTCATTTCTCTCTTTTCCGATGTCTTTTTTTTTTTCTTTCTCTTTTCTTTTCTCGTTTCCTTTCTTCTACTACCTTTTATCTCTCTGTTATTTTCTCTTATTCTTATCCTCTCTCTTGTTTTTATCTTTTAATCTCATTCTTCATTTCTCTTTTCCCTTTCTTTCTTTCTTTTTATCTCCTTTTTATCATTTTCTCCCTCGATTTTGTGTCTTTCTTTTCTTCCCACTTCCATTATCTTTTTCGTTTCCTATCTTCTCCTATTTCTTTCGTTTTCCCCTTTTCCCTCTTCCCCTGGTCTTTTTCTTTCTTTCTTTCTTTCTTTCTTTCTTTCTTTCTTTCTTTCTTTCTTTTTATCTTCTTTTTTATCATTTTCTCCCTCGATTTTGTGTCTTTCTTTTCTTCACACTTTCATTATCTTTTTCGTTTCCTATCTTCTATTTCTTTCGTTTTCCCCTTTTCCCTCTTCCCCTGGTCTTTTTCTTTCTTTCTTTCTTTCTTTTTATCTCCTTTTTATCATTTTCTCCCTCGATTTTGTGTTTCTTTTCTTCCCACTTCCATTATCTTTTTCGTTTCCTATCTTCTTCTATTTCTTTCTTTTTCCCCTTTTCCCTCTTCCCCTGGTCTTTTCTTTCTTTCTTTCTTTCTTTTTTTCTTTCTTTCTTTCTTTCTTTCTTTTCCTCTTTTTTTCTCTCTTCTTTTTTGTCTTTATTTCGCTTTCTTTCTCGCTCTTTTCGTTTTATACGCCGCTATCTCTTTTCTCTCTCTCTCTCTCACTCTCTTTTATCTCTCTCTTATTCTTTTCTTTCGTCTGTCTCTGTTATTATTTCATTCTATTTTCTCATTTTTCTTTATTTACTACTTTTTACTATTTTTCTTTCTCTCTCTCTCTCGCTTTTATCTCTTTCTTTTTCTTCAACTCTCTCGCTTTTTCTTACTTCTCCTTTACCTTCTTTTTTACTTTCTCTTATCCTTCTCTCTCTTTTCCTATTTTCTTTCTCTCTCTTTTATCTTTCTCTCTCGTTTATCACTTTCTCGTTAATATTTCTATCTCTTTTTCCTCCCTCTCTCTATTAGCATTGTCTCTCTTTCCTCCTTTCTCTTTTATATCTGTTTCTCTTTTCTTTCTTTCTTTCTTTCTTTCTTTCTTTCTTTCTTTCTTTTTTTTTTTCTTCACATTTGTTTCTTTTTATACCTTTCTATGTTACGCGAACATACTGATGGTAGTATCTAGAATCTGCCTTCTATTGGCGTATTGGATGGGTGAGATAGTTGCGTTTTTCTGTCGGCTTCAGTAGCCCAGCCAAAACCACAAATCCTGATATTGCAAACAAACCTTTCAAACATGGAATAATGGCACAACCCAATCTTTCTATTCTCCACCTAAACCATTTTCAATCTTTGGTGCTGTAAGCTGAGTGATAGAAAGTTTCAGTTTCATCTCTCTCTTTCAATGATGTGTACTCTTTGTACCCAACTAAGGAAATCTTACTAAATATCTATAATCTATCTCTTTTTCACATGTGCCTTTATTCATCTGTATATAGATGTACTACATTGCTTATGGTAATGGTAGCATTAGTCGGTTTCTCATAAGGAAACATTCGGTATTCATTGACCGAACAGTCAGTGCTACTTTTGGTTGAAATTTATAAAACATTTTCTACGAAAATAATTTTAAAGTAAAAATTAATTTTTAATTTTATTGCTCTTTCTAGTATTGATAGGAGGCGTCTTCCTATTTTCTTTTTTTTGTTTTTTAAAGTAATGTGGAACGTCAACATATTAATTATGTCATAATTTACTCGCCGAGTTACATGTGCAATCCATTTTAGTTGTTACTACTATTGAAAGTCTTCTACTGATGTGTGTCTTGTGATTTGGTATTGTTCTTTGTTTGAGATTATGTAGCGTCAGTCCAGGATGTTCGAAGAAGGATAGTCCTCGGTAAGACCTTCAGTATTTATTCACTGGAATAACTATTGATTTGAGAAAGTGGCTTTATGCAACTGACAGTTTAGATATTTCTAAACACTTTTGTCGCCATGCATGACATTCATATGAAAATTTCAATATGACTAGGCTATTTAAGAACATTGAGGACCATTGTCTTAATGTAATGGTAGGTGGTGTCTTCATGGAAATTTCCAGGCTAGAGAAGATGTCAGCGCACCAATCAGCACTTATTGATCGTGACTAGAGATATCTAGCTATAATTTCAATTTGCATTACTTCATGGATTCAGTGTACTTCTACTCCTGGGTATGACGATAAACTACATCCGGCAGCAGAGCCTATGATCGAAAGATTGGAGGTTTTGAAGAACGTGGAACCATCCCTTAATTGATTTTGTTCCCAGATCCACCCTGACCAAGCGTGGTAACATCTGTTAGGGTTTCAGCCATGGAAAAGTAGTGAACTCCCAAACAAAAAGAAAACATTATAAAAGTGTAAAAATGCATTTTCATATGATAAAAATTATCAACAATACATGTTTGTAGTAAAATTACCATATTTTTTTAAGCATTTCACCCCAAGCAAGGCGGGATGCCACTAGTACGCAGGGGGTTACAGAGTGGGAGTGAGAGTAAAGAGGCGTGATGGAGGGAAAGAATGAAGAGAAGGGCAGGGAATAATTCAGGGCATCTGGAGATGTCGATTGACATTACATTTGAATAGTTGGAGATTATAGCTACCAGGGAAACAAGTAATAGAAAGGGAATTCCACAGACGGGAGGTGCGAGACATGAAGCTATTGGAGTAGAAGAGACGGCCACATTTAACCGTTTCGTCTGTGAAAGGGTGGGACGGTGATGCCAGCCTAGTAACACGCTTAAATTCATGCGCTCTGGGAACTAGCGAAAGTAAGATATTTATAGTAAAATTACCAAAAATAACTATTGATAGTATATATTTAGTTGAATCCATAAAATTGTACTGATAATGTTTAGATTTCGGCATTAAATAACCCATAGAAGATGATATGCTGTTAAAGAAAAAAAAAACATGTGCCCGAAAAATGATTTTCAGCATTTCAGCAGAATAATGTACTGTGTCATCGGGGTCAAATTGCCCAAATTTGCTTTGTAGAGACTTTCTAGACACATTCGGTATGACCGTTTGACCGATATAAGCCTAATTGAGTATTTATGGAGATGCTAATTTGTGGGGGGGGTCTCTTTGCACGTAATCACCAACAAACATAAGTAAGTTGTTATCAAGACAATATGGCTCAATAACTCCCCAAAAGTGTTACAATCAATTGTAATATTGATAACATGTTGATTCGCTACCCTTCGCCGGACTAGTGTATGTCTTATAAGGTTCTAGACAGCCATCTCTTGACCTTTGCTACATAAGTGTATATATCTCTGCATACAGTAGTATATCTTCTTTTGTTTTATCAACAGAGCTGATATCAATTCAATAAAATGTATCACTGTTTCTTTGTAACCCTTCGCTTTTCGTTCACAACCACGCTCGAACCTCAGTCGGATTTTCCTCCAGACAATATCTTTCTTTCAAGAGGAGGCGAAGGTTAATCTCTGGCGTCTGGGGCTTCTCCAAAGACAAAATGCTGTGACGGGTTAAGCAATTTTTTTCCTAGACCATGTGTGCATGGGCCACCAATTTAAGCTCAAGTTTGTGTCACATTCCCTTTGAGACGGTGTGCGGGAAAATAACTTTATATACACACTTACTGTCTCTTAGTTAAGCGCATTCATTATTTTCAGCATAGTTTATATATGATTTTATACATATTTCTTCAGGAAGTGAAGCGACTATATCGAATCAACTGCAAGGAAATTTTGGTCCACTCTATCGTACCAGAACATTTTTCATGACAGAATCCATCTTACACATTTATGAATCTACCATTCGTCCATGTACTGAATATTGCTGCCATATATGGTCTGGTGTTTCTACTGTACCACTCGAGATTCTTGAAAAAAATCTAAAGAAGGGTCTGTAATATAATCGAACTTGTCAGGAATCTCGACTTCAGTCAATTTCCTACCGCCTTGAAGTTGCTTCCATCTGCTTTTTTTCATGACAACTATTCTCATGAGTTTTTTTTTCCCTAGGTGTCTCGACTACATGAATTTGAGCGTGCTACTAGATTGGCAGCGAGGTCTCACCGGTTTACTGTTAAACTAGTTAGTTAAAACCGCCACTTCTAGAATAACAGTTTCTTTTCTCGCACTTCTCACCTGTGAAACTCCATTCTGATTTTTAGCGTACCTTCCATTTATAATCTTCAAAGATTTAGATGCAACGTCAATCGCCATAGTCTGCCTTCCTTTATCCTTTTCCTTTATTATCCTTTCTCCTCACTCCACTCCGCTAAAATCTTCCCATTCTTTTTCAATCACTGTAAGGAATACTGATGATGACCGAAGGGTATTTGGTCGAAACGTTGTATCTATAATGATACCAATATTAACCAAGATAAGAACAATAGTTAGAAAGAGTACAAGATTATTTATAAGTACCTATCTCAGAAATGAAATATTAAAAGATCGAAACGTCTGCAAACTTGGGGCCATACCAAACCTTGGGAAAGGCGCTGGAAGAAACTCCGGAGTCTGGATCCCAAAGACAGTTCAACGTTTCATCCAAACTTGTTTGCCAATGGTGCCAAGCACTATCGTCTCTTGACTTCCTTTCGACAACATCGATAGCGTAGAGAGGGGAGACGTGCTGCGTGAACAACTGTCAATCTCTCATACAAATTCGCTTTCTCTGTTTAACTAATGCTAGACTTGCTAGCCTCAAAGTTTATTCCCTTGTGTAGAGATTTCGATCCGTTACTCCAATAACAGTGGCCCTTAATAAATATCGATTTGACCGCCCGTTAATTAAACGGGATATTCACTAGGGTAGTGATTTACTTAAGTGACGCCCCTCAGTTTTTCTCCTATTCTAAACTATATTTACTCAATATCTTACAATAGCGCAATGATTAACAAGTTTCTCTCTCAGCATGTATGTTTGCATAATGAGCTAGGTCCTCACTGTGTTCCTCTTTGCTAGGACATATACTTAATTACTTAACCTAGTAAATATCTATTATCTGGACTGCCTGGTGGCTAAAGTAGTTTACTTTTTCCATTGGTGAGCGCTCGAACCTAGGTAAGAAAATGGTTTAGAATGCAAAGCAAACTTTTAAGATTCGAAGATTCGTGTAATATTCTGTTATGTGATATTAAGTTAAATTTAGTCAATTTCTACCGTATTTGATGATATATATCAGGTCATCCCATAAATTCTGTCCGAATTTTGAATAAAGAAAACAAGTGACCAAATGTTACATTTAATTACAGATGCAATCAACAATATATTTTCCCTGATTATCTATGACTTCCTTCCATCTATTAACAAGCTTACTAATTCCATTACTGTAAAATTCTTTTCGCTTTGATTCGAAGAACTCACAAATGTCAGTTTTAACCTCACCTATGTTACAAAAGCTGTTTCTTCCAAATGATTCTGTAAGCTACGAAACAAATGGTAGTCTGAAGGAGCAAGATCGGGAGAATAAGGTGGATGAGGAATTTTCTCCCAACCAAGTTCTTCGATCTTTTGTGACGTGATTCTTGCGTCGCGCATTGTCCTGATGAAACATCACACCTTTTCGATTCACTAGAGCAGGTCTTTTTTTCCTCAAAGCTTGGTTCAAACGCTCTAATTGCTGACAGTATATTTGAGCATTAATTATTGCATTAGGTGGTAAGAATTCAAAGTGGATTATTCCTTGGCGATCCCACCAGATTGAAAGAAGAACCTTTTGGCCATGAAGTTCCCTTCTCGGCTGTGGCTGTGGTCTTTCCCCTTTACCAAGCCACTGTCTACGACGCTTAACATTTCGATAAAAGATCCATTTTTCGTCGGCAGTCACAAGTCTATCCAAAAAAGGTGAAACAAGTTGGCGAGAATGGAGAGAAGAGCAGATGTCAACTCGGGATTTGAGGTTGTTTTCAGACAATTCATGAGGCACCCATTTTCCAAGTTTAGGAACTTTTCCAAGTTGTTGAAGATGACGATGAACAGTTGTATGGTTTGAACTGAGAACCACTGCCAATTCCTCAGCTGATAAAGCAGGATTTTCTTCAAGGTCTGCTTCAAGAAGCTTTTCATCAAATTTAACTGGACGTCCGGTTCGATCTTTATCTTCAAGGGGGAAATCCCCACTTCTGAATTTTGCAAACCATCTTCTGCAAGTTCTTTCATTCA